GGATAAAAAAATAAAACGAAACATGGAAATGGAAATGTGTCTTGATGCATTCCATGAGTACCATTCTAGTTATATCATAAAGTATTTGATAAAAACTCTTAAAAATCATTTTTTATACACGAAGTACTGTTTATTGATGCATATTACTTAAATTTTAAGATTACAAAGTAAAGTGTGCATAAGTACAACTTATTAAAGCTTCATATTTGAATTTGTGTAACTAACCGCAGATAAAAATAATCAAATATTGGATAAATATTTCATATTAAATATAAAAAATCTATAATATAATTAAGATAATTATTAAGTTATAACAGAATACTTAGTTATTATCTTTATATACTAAATTATTAAACGTAAATTAAATTTCTTTGTTGCTAAACCTAAATTAAATTATAATTAAAAATTTTGAATTAAGAAAATTACACCCAAACACAATACTGATATTGATATATATTTTTTTTCAAAACTTTATAATATTTTCAAATTTTATATTTTATTCAAAAATAAAAACATTATCGATTTCTCAAAAACACATAAAACTGTATTATATCGACATAAAAAATGAATAAAACGAAACACTGAAATGAAGATGTATCTCGATACATTGCACGAGTACCCTTCTAGTTGAAAAAAAGCATTTGAAAGCACTCATTTATAGATGTTGCCACGTGCCCCCCTTTCCTACTCCTGATTTAACCCTTCCTTTCCTCTCATTTCCTTACGTAACACATTCTCGTTCAATAGACGATTCAATGTGATATCGTTCAACAAAAAACCCTAGAAGAGATTCACAATAGATGAAAACAAAATCTTCAAAACCAACCATTTGTTATGATTTCAAGTTGAGAACAGACAGTTAGAGACCAGAGAGCCAAAATACAAGTTACAATTGTGGATTCCATCAACATCAGTAACTTACAATTACAATATTCAACTAATATTCTTCTTTTTTTGATTAATCTGGATATCCAATCCGCTATGCGAGCCATCTAATCCCAGGGAGACCACCTGCTTTTCAGATAGCCCGAAGTCACCGCATTTGAACCTCCGTGGCCACAAAGAGATTTTTTATTCCTCCTTGGATTTAAACCTGAGACTTCCTGGTACTTTTGATATTTGGAGCCAAGCTCAAACCAATTAGGCACCACCCTTATGGTTTATTCAACTAATCTTATGTCTCCACTAATGTCATTCTAAACCGAATAGACGATTTTAAATTTATTGCTCTTTTCATATTCATCTGCCATTTGAGAGGCTTTAGTAGCCTGACTTGAACTAGAGGATGACAAAGCACCTTCTGAATTAAAACCACCCTCTCTTATGGAATTATTTGTTTGTCTAACCAATAGTTTTCCGATAGTCTGCTACAGTGCCCGATTAGATTGTTTTCCATTTGGGTACTTGATTTCCATGGTGTTAAACAAGAAGAACCTATCGTGCTATGATATATGGTAAATCCCGTGGATCAGACTTGCGAACATCAATCTTAGGGATCATGGGAGCCAAGAAACATGAGATTTGACCTTTTGCTTTAAGTATTATACTGTTAGCTCTTCATTCGTTGGGTGAAACCTAACCCCGTGAGGCAATTGGAACACAATTCTTGACGAAATGGAGATTTCCCTTTTCCTAATTTGCAACGATAAGCAGATGGGTAAAACCTCTTTGAGATCAGGGTTCTTGGACCATTAGAGATCCCAGTTGTAAAGATTTGGGGACAAGAGAAAAAGATATAGGTTTAGGTATCTAACAAGGAAGGTAACGGGTATATATAATAGTACATCATGATACGAAAAGAAAAAGAAGGGGAATATGATCCTCACACGAAAAGGTGAATGGAGGTGGGTGGTGTTGGTCTCACGTTGTCGGAGGGGATTTTTAGTCCACATGGCAAAACCTGATTGGGTGTTTCAAAATGCTTTTTAAGTAATCGTTAGAAATACCAAAACGTCTAACATAATCTATATCTATATTATATTATAAAGCATTTGACAAAAACTTTTAAAAACCACTTTTTATGCATAAAGTACTGTTTATTGATGCATGTTACTTAAAACTCAAGGTTACAAACAAATTGTGCGTAAATACAACTTATTAAAGCTCCATATCTAAAAATTCGTGTAACTAACTGCATATAAACATAATCAAATACAGGATAAACATCTTATTTTAAATATAAATTTTTTAAAATATAATTAAGATAATCATTAAGTTATAACAGAATACTTAATTATTGTCTTTATAAAATGTTAATTATTAAACCAAAAATAAATTATTTCATTATTAAACTTAAATTAAATTATAATAAAAAAAATAAATAATAAAAAAATTATATAAAAAATTAAAACTTTTAAATAGTTGATTTGATTTGATATTAACGTTCATATATTTTTTTTCAAATTTATATTTTATTTAAAAATAAAATCATTATTGTTTTCTTAAAAACACATAAAATCATACTATAACATCGAATGAGACAAAAAAAATAAAATAGAACATTAAAATCGAGATGTATCTCGCTGCATTACACAAGTACCCTTCTAGTTTTTTTTTAATGTAGTTAGTAAAATAAGCCTAATCTGTAATAAATTACAAATCATGATGATCGTATTGAAATAAAAGAAACTAATAGAGATTTAGTTGTAACTTTCACTGAAACTTAGGGACCATATATGACTCACTCAAAAAGAATTGACATCCCTAGTGTCTTTGAATGTGGCACATTTGGCATATGTGGTTTGATTTATTATCGTTTCCAATTTTTATAAATTTAAAATATATAATATTTTCTTCTCTTAATTAATATTCTATTAAAACTTGAATATGGTATTTCAATAATTTTGATAAATATTGAGTTTAAAGTTAGAGGTCGTTTACCAAACGCTTACTTGGTAAGTATTTATTGAGTCATTACTTTACCGAATAAGTATAATCATAACCAAGAGTTTTACCCGATAAGTGTGGATGATGACTCTTACACGGTTAATGTTTACCGGGTAAATTGTTGCATACGACACCGTTTTAATGGACTAGAATCTTATATGATAGGTAGAATGATGATGTTAAATCTTAGTGGTAAACACTTACTAGGTAAACATTTGGATAAACAGCCTCCTTATTATTTTTATCTTTTAAATATATGTATTTACTAGAAGGGTACTCGTGTAATGCATCGAAGATACATCTTGATTTCAGTATTTCGTTTTATTTCTTTTTTATGTCGATATAATACGGTTTTATGTGGTTTTGAGAAAACGATAATGTTTTTATTTTTGAATAAAATATAAATTTGAAAATATTATAAAATTCTGAAGAAAAAAAAAATATATACCGATATCAGTATCAAATTAACTTTTTTAAAAGTTCTTATGTTTTGGTGTAATTTCCTTAATTCAAAATTTTAATTATAATTTAATTTAGGTTTAGTAATAAAGAAATTAATTTAGGTTTTTTAATATAATTTTTTATAAAGATAATAACTAAAATATCCTATTAGAACTCAATAATTATCTTAATTATATTTTAGATTTTTTATATTTAAAATAAGATGTTTATTAAAACTTTAATTATATTTATCAAAAGTTAGTTACACGAATTCAAATATGGGACTTTAATAAGTTGTACTTATGCAAAATTTACTTGTAACCATAAATTTTAAGTAATATGCATCAATAAACAGTATTTCGTGTATAAAAATGGTTTTT